CGGAGTCCCCCGCCCTGGAGGGAGGTGGGAGAGCCGGGCAGCGGGCTCTGTGCGGTGGATGCCAGGCCCTGGGCAGCGTCGAGGAGGAGCGAGTGTTCCGAGCTGGCACGGCCCTGCCCAGAAGCTGTTATATAATCGTCACCATCCATCGCTGGCGTGCGCGGGGCCCAGGACGCCCCAAGGTCCTCCTCCAGGCCCGGAAAATGGTCTGCATCCCGATGGGGCGGTGGGTGCATCCCCGAGCGAAGCGAAGTGGGGGCTGAGGGGCAAGTGCGGGGCCCCAGGCATTCCGCAGACGGCCCCGCAAACCCTGCCCCAGAACTCTGACTGACAGTGCCCCGAGCCAATGATGAAAGTCACGGTGGGGCGCACAGTTAACCCTTTCTTGGGCCCTAGTTCCGTTAAGGAATAGAGGCGCTTCCTACAAACCGAATCCCTTCCAGCCCCGAGTCCCTCCCCCTTCGCGAGGCCAGTGGGGCCCCGGCTGGAAGGTCCTTGCTCCAGGCCCCCGCAGGAAGTCAGCCCAGGTCGTCAGCAGCCCCAGCGCCGCCCCTCCCTCTCCCAGCCCCAAAGTAAATCGTCTGACAACATGTGGTTGCAGGTGCACACCCTGGGATTCCAGAGACAGGCCTCGTGGCGCTGGCACCCCACCCCGCACCCCCACAAACAGGCGTCCGCACACACCACCACCATCCGCACGGCACTGCCGCCACCACCACCACCTCCGGCGCTGACACACCTGTGACTCAGATGCCCAGGAACGCGGTGGTGCCCGAGTCGGCCGGTAGGGGGAGCCGCGCGATTCCATCCGCCGGCCGCGGCCTCTCCCACCTCTCCTCCCGCGCCCCAGGGTCCCACCCAGAACTTGTGGCTGCCCCAAGCTCAGCTCCACACCCCGGCCTAGTGCCCACGCCGGGGAGTGAGTCACAGCCCCCGCCTGGGGAGCGCTCTACGCGGCTGCCCCACAGGACACGCCGAATCCACCTGAACTGACAGTGGACCACATTTCAGATGCCCCTTGCAACCCAGCTATTACCCCACTGACATTGTGCTGTGAGCCTACTAGGAACTGGGCCTTGTGCCCTCGGATCAGGACAAGCCATGTAGCTTGTCATGTATGTAACAGGAGACTGATCCGCATACATGGGGTGAACCCTTATGACAAGCTTCCTGTTTGAGAAATGGCCTTCTTGCATTGTTGCTCATATTTTTTTTATTTTAATATTTTTATTGATTTCAGAGAGGGAGAGAGAGAGAGAGAGACATCAAGGATGAGAGAGAATCATGGATCAGCTGCCTCCTGCACACCTCACACTGGGGATTGAGCCTGCAGTCTGGGCATGTGCCCTGACTGGGAATCAAACCCTGCCTTCTGGTTCATAGGTGGATGCTCAACCACTGAGCCACACTGGCTGGGTTGTAGCTCATATTATACCCACAGGACCCTGGAGACCGGAGAGGAAATTAAACCCTAATTACATGGGTCAGGTATGACCCTAGGGCAGCCGCGGGCCGGATCCGGCCCGTTTGAAATGAAAAAAACTAAAAAAAAAAAAAAGACCGTACCCTTTTATGTAATGATGTTTACTTTGAATTTATATTAGTTCACACAAACACTCCATCCATGCTTTTGTTCTGGCCCTCCGGTCCAGTTTAAGAATCCATTGTGGCCCTCGAGTCAAAAAGTTTGCCCACCCCTGGCCTAGCGCCTAGGCCAGTGATGGCGAACCTTTTAAGCTCGGCGTGTCAGCATTTTGAAAAACCCTAACTTAACTCTGGTGCTGTGTCACATATAGAATTTTTTTGATATTTGCAACCATAGTAAAACAAAGACTTATATTTTTGATATTTATTTTATATATTTAAATGCCATTTAACAAAGAAAAATCAACCAAAAAAATGAGTTTGCATGTCACCTCTGACACGCGTGTCATAGGTTCGCCATCACTGGCCTAGGGCCTGGGATTCTTTCACACCAGAGCTCAGCCTCTCTTGCTTTTCCTTTAAGTGGGAATAATACCAGCTCACAGGGTGTGATGAGTCAATCCCCAACCCAGCTGGGTGCTGGCGCAGCAGTTAGTAGGCCCTGGGATGTTCTGTGGACTGGCCCAGCTGCTGGCACCACTCACCCATCCAGTGAATTTATGGAAGCCCTACTATGAGCCCAGCACTGAGTGCCGTGGGGAATGTAGAGGCGTAGGAGGCATGGTTTGGGCCCCAAGAATCTTTTGGAGCAACCGGATACGTACCGGACAGACAGCCATCCTTCTTCCTTGTTGGTGTTAGTCCGGGTGGGCGAGGGCAGTGGGGCCCGGAAAGCGCCCTGGGATACCGAGGCCCACATCTGGTCCTGGGCTTTCCATTTTCCAGCTGTGGGGCCGGAGACTCACGTTTCCTCCCCAGTCTAATGGGGCCGTAACGTCTTTCTCACGGTTTGTGGGAAACACTGAAGTAACATGTGAAATAAAAAGTACAACTTCATTTTCATTGCATCTGCTCTCAGATAGGGGAGTGTGTGTGTCACTCTGATGTGTGGAGAGAGTTCTTGGGAGAAGACCAAGGTTTCACTTCCACAAGCATTTTCTCAGCACCCACTCTGCCTGAGAATTGAGAAGAAAACACCCAGGCGATGTCCTCAAGAACGGCCTGGCCTCCAGGAGAGAGGACCAGAGGAGATGCTCAGAGCGCGTGAAGGTGGGTGGTACAGCAAGCGGCCGGGAGTGCGTGTGGGTTGAGGGGTGCAGGCATCCTGCTGCTTCCCATCCGTGTGGGTAGGAGGCCAGGGCAGTGCTGTCCAGCCTCTCCCCCACGTG